CAATGTGGGAGTATCTGTTACAGTAACAAGCCTCTATTCTACAGTAACAGGCCTCCGTTCGAAAGTTCGAAGGAATCAATGCATATGATATATTAGGCCTTGTAATCATGTTTAAATTAGGCTTACCTCGGATTTGTCATCCTTTTGTTCGGCAAAGTTTTGAGTTCAATCGAATTCACTCTACATCCAACACCACACTGTACATTTTTGAATGCTGTCACTCGCACTGAATCTTTGTCTGCCACAGGGGCTAAAAAACACGCGCTCGTGCTTCTCTCCAATGGGACTCTCTGCCCATACTGAAAATAGGAAAGAAAAGGACCAGAAAACGAAGCTTACCCTTATCCAGTGATTGCATCTCATATAATTGTCACGTTGGGTCTTAACAGCTGCATTTCCGAAGGTGAATGTTTTTGTCTTCCATGCAGCGGTAGCTACCAGGGTTTCGCCGCACCCGGCTGGCTAAAAAAGTTGTTCAACTGGTATATGAACCTCTTATTTAACTCAGTGCTGAAGTTGATTTTCAAGGCTTCAGCATTTTAGGATAATAGAGGTTGACGACAGCGCTGTCGCTTACCTACGTGGGTCCCTGCCACGTGTGAGGTTAATGTGAACGCGAATGCACTTGCTTCTCCGGTCAAAAGTGTAGAAACATGGGCCGTAAAATGGTGATGCACGGATGCTGCCCCCATACTACTTGCGCTGCCACATGGCCAGCCACATTCTAACCATAACCGGACGCGCTACTTGTCTGCGCTCTCTCACTTGTGGTTGTTCTCTGTCCTGAGTACTTCGCCGCGGGACCTTTGCATGGGCACTAGTGCCGCACCTTGAAGTAGCACGGCCGGATGAAGGAGACTGCAACCGGTGCCACTACTTTGCACCCCGTTCCCAGGCACTTTTCGAAAGGTCTGCTACTGCAGCTGCGGACCCGTTCGCTTCGCAGGGAGCCGTGGCGGGGACCGTCCTTGGAAGTGACCGTACAGCCTGTCATTGCTTAAGTCCAAACGGTTTTTTTCGGAATACACAAAACTGGAAAGGGTGCCTGTCCAGTGGGTACGAGGGCAAAGGACATCTCATTTGAAGTTATTCTTTGTCACCAGGTTTGATCCTTGCTAGAACTGTTCAGCCTTAGCCACTGCGAGCTGTAGCAAACACACTGATACAGCTTGGTTCAGCAGACATGCGAAACAGCGCTTTTTACGCGTTTTCAGCGTTGCCTCAGGTATAACCCTTCACTCTTTCGCAAACACCAAAGAAACTTACACGAAGTTAGCGCATTCCTTCGCTCCAGCATAGCCTTCAGGACAGTTGCAAACTGCACAATTTTTCGGTCTTGGTTCACCAGCATTAGAGCATGTGGCGGCACCACATTGAGCTGAAAAGTTTGTGAATCTCAACGGACAATTTGCTGAAAGTTGCTCGACTGCTGTGCTCTACATAGCCCTTACATAATTTAAATGGATAAGCCTGGCAGAATCGGACCTCAAAATCAATTCATAAATGTGGCGCTCTTCCCCGATTGGCGAAAAAAAGCGTCTCTAGGGTTATTTCAGCGTTTTGCGTTCATACTTTGCGGGCCAGCCGTCCACCGCAACATAGTCTCCAGCAATTCGGACCGCGTCCGGCAGCGTAAGCAAATAGGAATGTATAGATGTCGATTCAGCGTCTGCCAACGTCTGCCAGCGTGGGCCGGCGTCTACCCGCGTCCACTTGTGTTTCGAAGGCAAGGGAAGTGTAGGGTGTAGGTATCGACTCTTAGGCCTTCTGCCAGCGTCTGTCTGCGTCCGCCAGTGGGTGTCTACAGGAGTTTGTGTCTACAAGCGATCTCCAGCGACCAGAAGTACGGTATTTAGTGTGGTGCAGGATTGCATATATACATAACAAACGCCTAATCCAGCGGTTTCCTCACTCCTGCTTCTCCATACTCTCTACTGCTCGCTGGCGGATTCTGGTAGACGCTAGACTCAGATCCACACTCCAGCAGCTACCTAGCCCCTTGGACGCTATGGTCGCTGCCGGACGCTCGGAACGCTGGTGGACGCTGGTGTAGGCTGTCGCAAAGTATGAACTCAGCTCTACTCTTTGATGGCAACATCCTTTCATATGGCAACAGCTGGCACTTCTGAAGGAAGCTGATCAACCTGCGCAGAGACAGACCTGACTCCGTGAACCAATCTGAGCACCCTTTGTTGTGAAAGCGTTTGAACGCACTCGCGTCGAAGGGTGATATGCGCCCTCCATATCCATGGCATAGGTAGGCGTGGCCTCATTGCTTCATTTGAACGTCACGATCGACTAAGTGTTTTGATGAAAATATTTTTCGATTTTGAGGACCATTCCGCACCATCCTGCGCTAGGACAGAAATGACCGGTTGGGCATATGTCGCGCAAGGCGAACACGCATTTTCGATTGAAATACGCAGCCACACCCACCCTCCCCCCCCCTCTACAAAAAACGTGAAGCGGCAGGTGATACACAGCTCCCGCTGATCGTACGGGGTCAGAAACGGAGGAGCTACGAGGAAGTTGTTCCTTCTTCAACATTTCTCTCCTCCTTCTGATACGGTGAGAAAAGAAGTGTACGTGAGGAGTCGCATTGGCCGGGTTTCTCCGCCCACAGAAAAGGCCTCCGCCTCCAAACTGCAGCGTCCATTCTACCGCTGTCTTGTGAGCAGGCGCGTTTTGCATCGAAAACCAATATCTAAACCTACTGTGGCATCCATAGTGATCGCTTTTTTTTTTTCACTTTTCAGCATCATCATGTCAAAGAATGAAATCACTCGCGTTCCTTCAGTCTGAAGATATCGCCCAAGGCGAGGCTTCAGCGAGTAACCCTTCGTTGTGAACCTGAAAAACGTGAAATGACGAGCTCGTACCTGTCTGCAATGAAAATTCTGGTGCAGTTTGGCTTCTTGGGGGGCGGGGGGGAAGCCACCTAATTGTACTCGTGGTAAGTCTTACACCTGCTGAATTGAGACCCTTGTGAAGGCTGAAACAGTCGGATGAAACTGACATCACATAAGTGACAAAAGGAAACCAGCCGTATTGCAATACCCCCCCCCTCCTTCTCCTAAGCCCAACAGCACGAACTATTTTTGATGTCGTGGATTAACGCACAAATTAGCTGCATAATGCATGACGCTGCCATATTCGTAAGGCGTGTAGTTGATGGTACTGTCGGGGCCGAGCTTAGCAAAGTTTCCTTGTTTGCTTGCCTGAAATTAAGTATTTAGAGGGTTCACACACCGCAGCCGTGGCGTGCTATCTAGTTTTCTGCCGGTCTTGAAGACGACAGATCACGGCTTACGTTTTTGCAGCTTCAATTAAAGAAATTTCAAGCTGATCGTGTAGGTGGAGTCAGGCCTATCATAAGCTTCATTTTATGTACTGTGCTTCTTTTCACTGTGTCAATAAGAGGAAATCCCAAACGAGACTGACAATAGGTCCAGCCCCACCCCCAACCACACGCAATCGTTTTTCTCAACGCGTCGTTATGGTGACGAATTCAATGTAGAAGTTTAACGTTTTGAGCAATTTCATTTCTCCTTTTACTCTCCGGTTCCTTGCACCGTGCTGTTTTAGGACGAATCTACTCAGCGAAAGTCATTGCTGTAGTTTTTCTTCGATTCCTCTGGATCCCTAGGAGGCTCGGCGGCCGCTACTACTTGATGGCAGCGAAACTTGGGGTGCCACCAGCTAGAGAAAGGCTTTGACGTTCACTTCACAACTGTGGGAACGACTATCAGCGATCAGCAAATGTCGGTGGATGGCATCTGCCAGACAGACTGCCAGCTACAGTTGGGTTGCCAACCGGACACTGGTGTGGGCTTTCCCGATCACGCAGCTAAAAATAAATTGCAACTCGCCACCTTCGACTCCCGGTGAGCCTTGGCATCGTAACCGTAGAGTATTCATAGGTTGGCACTGCCGTGACTCTTCTAAGGTCTTTCAGTAAAAAAGAGATACTGTAGTACTGAACTCACCGGCACGTTAGTCAGATCAACGATGAGGAAGTCGTCTCTGTCGCCACGCATATGCATGTGCCACGATCCCAGAGCATGCATGAACTCGTGCGCAGCGATGCCAACCTGGAATGGAGTATTGAGGCAAAAAGCTCTACAGTAGCCTGTAAAGGGTATAGGTTAGGAGTCCAAGAGGGGTCAACGTTGTCATGTTTCGCCTCACCGCGATAGCTGCCTTGATTGGACGAGACCCATCAGTACGTGCGATTAAGGTCGCGATCCCTTCACATAGTTCTGGCACCACGCAAATCTGCTTGGCATTTTGCTAGACCAGAATATTCAATGGGACGTCAATATGGTTGAATGGCAGCGTATTTGTTCAACGGATTGCTGTATTTCTTTGATACGACTTACTTTTCCCGTCTGGCCGCAAACCTTAGGCCCTTACAATACCTTACAATTGAGGGCAAAAGAAGGATTCACCCTAAAGTGAATTTTTGTAGATTGCTGACGTATTCTCCAAATATTATTTCTATGTGAATGGACCTTGTTTTATACTAATAGTTGAACATCGGGCCTACTCCTTTCATAGTTTTCACACCTGCAATTAATAAAGCAGGCTGTTGGAAATCTCATGGACTACGTACATAAACACCACGCACATAGCGAAAACTGCCGCCCTCGCGGCGGCAGGCCGACCTCTCGTGGAATCCTAACCGTTGCCCGTGTGGCGTGTGGCGTGCACTACGTGACCGTATAGCGTGTAGCGTCGATTCGCTTACGCACATCGGAATAGCCGCAGAACAGAAATCATCAGTATGCTAAAGTGATTAAAATCTTCTGCGCTAAATAGCCCAGGGATTAAGGGGAATGGCCTCAATATTTCATCACAATGTGGCCGCATCGTTTAGTGTGGCTTTGCAGGTTTCTGGACAACCGACGTCTTCACCAGAAACAAAAGAGAATAACGGTTATCGCAAGGAAATATCCTACGAAACATGCAACCATGTTGAAATCTAATATTAGGCTACGCACTCTCCATTTCCTCGGAATGGATTGTAGCTTCTGGCGCTGTTCGGCGACGGGGGGCATTTTGCACTTTCGCTTCAGTAGTTTCGGTTTACAAGTCTCACTCTGGGTAAAACCTGCTGAACCCTTCGCGCTAGGCTGCGAGTAATGGCTCGTCTAGCCACCATTATAAAGCCTGTCAACTCTCGTAAAGCCCTCGCGTTGGTGGCAAACGTCGACGAGAACTCTCAAAAAAACAGCAAAATGCCCCTCCCGTCGCCCAACTAGCTTGCTATGAATGGTGAAAATTTATTTCTTCAGCTGAAAAACTGCCATCTTCTAAACGGATAAAGTCTCCTGCTTTTCATGAATGGTTGCGGTGACGCCTTCTGAGAATAAACATGGTGGGGTATAGTTTCTGGAGCATAAATCTCCTACCTGATCACAACTTTGCCAGTTGATAGCTGCTGTACGCCTCCAACCATTCCGACTGAAGACCAACAACCACTACCGCTGAACACCTGCACGCGGGTTGGGTGCGGAAGCGCTCTGGGTAAATGTGATACACGTACGACCGCTTATGTAGTTCAGAGCCTGTTTCACGATATTTCGAAATCTGGTATCTGAAAAAATGACTTTAAGGTAAAGCTGGGCGCCATCGTCCATGCTGATAGCAAGGGCGGAGACAGGTGCTTCCAGAAGTGACTTATTGTCGTGGTAAGGGGGTGCAGAGAGGATCTGTCCATTGGCAACCCTTCCGAAGCTATCAGAGTGGACTGTGCCGTTCAAGTTCAAGGTTGAAGATCGTAAGGCTCTCATACTTGTGCTACTATGAAACTCATAAAACAGCTGGTTGTTCGGCCATCGTGGATTGACAGAATCCATTTGACGTTTGTGGCGGGTCATGTTGCTTTCAGTCAAACTGCGCTCGATCATTTCTAGTTGTTTTCTGGAATGAAGCTGCATTTGCTGAGGAAATTCATAATAAATAAGTTATTGCCTACATACTCAGTAAGGTTGATGTCCCCGTTGAATAAGTAGTCAGCAACGCCTTCATCCTGATTGATTTCTTCAAGGCTGGGCTCCGTGATGTTGCTCAATTTCGGTTTCGGAACGCCGGTGCGCTCTTGAATGGACGGAACTATGTGGAAGAAAAGAGGAGAGGAAGCAAGCGATTTCAAAAGAACTGTTTTCGATGAATTAAGAAAATAGAAAGGACTGTGTTGGAAAGGATCGTTGGCCCGCAGGCGGCCAGTTTTGCGGCGGAATGTTGTAAGCAGTTAGGAGTATAGGAGTTGATGTATAAAACTGCTCGAGTAGCAGCCCCCTGTTCCAGTGATTTTCGCCTCCCACACGCCTTCAATGGTCTACGTTCCAGCCAAAAGCGAAGCCTCTGGATAAAAAGCATGGAATGAATAGTCCACTACAGGCTTCTTGTTCGGAGTATTTCTTGCGTGGCCATAGGGCTCGTTACAGGGAATCAACCGATTGGTCTCCTCCCAGCAGGTGGCCTGTTCGAGGCTGAAGGTCCTAGTACACTCCCACACCCCACCCATCCCTCGAGTTCTGCTCCAACTTAAGCCAAGAGTTTATATTATACTTTCCTAGTCCCTGGATTCCTTAATTGGAAGAGAACGAAGAGGGGTCAAGGTCAGATCCAACCCACGTCCACCAGTCTTAAAAACCACCTCCACCCCATCGAAGGTCGCAAACTGAAGCAAATCGCAAGCAGATTATTCCTCGGTGTCAGTAGGGACGCGATAAGAGTCGCATTCGAGTAGGGGGGAACATCGTATTCGCCTTGGTGAGAAGTGTCTGCATCGCGACTAGCCGAAGTGGGTGAGGGAGTTCGACGCAAATTACGGCTTCAGTTACTGGTGGGGTGACGGATGGATAGGGGCAATAACGGGCAATAATTGAGAAGGGAAAGAGAAAGAATCTTCAATTAGCCGTAGACAAGCTTGAAATCATAAAATAGCTGATTACTTACCTCTGCTCCCGCCATCGCTTCTCCGCCTGTTTCTCCAGCCAATATCTGTTTGGCCGTTTTGCGACGTTGGTTGCTTTTGTGATGTTATATTGTACTTCTTCAAGTACAATGTGCCAAGACGTTTTAGCCTCGCCCGGCGTTCCTCGAGATCGACACCAGGGAGTGCCTCGAATCAGAATAGTACTATAAGTAATTGTCTGACAACGATATTCCAGATTGGAAACTCTCTAGTTGGCCGTAATTTTGAACGCTCAACCAGAACCCCTTTTTTTCGAGAGGAACCTCGAAAGTAAAATGCTTTTAGTTCCAAACCTGTGAGAAATGACGAAGAGGAACTCTTGAGGGTAAGCAGAATGAATGGGTGGATTCAGACTAGGGCAGTTTGTACGTTGGAGGTGCCAGGTGTGGTAGTGGGAGGAGCGGTGTGGGGGGGGGGCTGCTTTTCAAAGAAATGTTTTTGATTGTTGGATTTTCTCAGCTCATCATGATTCAAGGGCGTTCATATTCGCCGCCAGACGGCTGCTTTATGGTGGAAAAGTAGGGATTTTTTTGAAGGATTTGGAAAAGTGGTAGGGGCCTGGAGAAGTTGATGGGGCGATGCATGGGGGAAGGGATTTTCCAAAGGGAGAGCCTTTGGGAACGGAGATAGGTCATAATTTTGCGAATTCTCTCCTCAGCAACAAGACGTGCCCAAATTCAGAATGCTTTGATGGCTAACTAACAGCAGCTTTTCTTTTTGGATTGATTCTCCTGGTTTGCACAGGCGATTTTACCCAAGCTTCTGAGTATAGCGTTTGAGGAGAAAAGACATATTTCTGTCTAACTTGTTACCAACCGAAAGTTGTATCTTATCTCTGACACCAACGTATAGATCCGTTCAAAGCGGTTGGTGCAACTATCCATTTTGAGCACACGAGGGCTGCCCCTGTAGCAGTACACCTTCCCCTCCGCGTGTGACTCTGCCTTATTTCAATGGCCGACCCCTTTCTCACCTTCGTCTTTTTTCCAATCCCTTTACTCACCTCTAGGCCTTTGAGGATTTTTGTGCTTGGCCTCGGCGGACCGCCCACTACTTTCCTTATTGGTCCGACAAACACACAGACAACTTCTGCTTTATATATAGAGTATGATACCTTTTTGAGGGAATCCTTTGCTTGGGCAGACAAGCATTCGCCACTGTGGAGTATTGCTAGAATAATAGCGCCTAGCAACATACCGTACAAATATAATTTGATCATGACTGAAAATTGTTTTTTTTAACTTCCTCAGGCATGAGCAAAAATAAGGTAACATCATAAGATATACTGTATGGGAGGAATTGGCAACATTTAACAAGAGCAGCGAATCCTGCCACGACGTGGAATTGAGGGAACCACATCCAGCAGTTGCCAGTGAATTCTAATACCTTTTTCAGGGGAGTTCTACGGTGATATTAAGAGAGAAGCATCTGTGGCTTTTCAAAGCTAAGGAGACGTAACAAACATAAAAACAAGCTTCTTCCATCTCGCAATAGACTTAGAAATTGCAGTAACTATCAGTGAGAAGTAGGACTCCAAAAAGATGGCGTTATCATTTCAGGGGAAGCACTAGTCAACAAAGACTCGGCAGTTCAAAGCCTTTATACAGCAAAACGGTAACCATAGTTCACTTCGAATTATTCACGACATCGTCCCATTATATGCTTAGAGAACAAGGTCTGTGGTCTGCTCACCACAGCGTGATTCTATGGAACGCGTTCAAAGGGGTGTTCTTTAGCCGCCGCTAGAGTAGATTAAAAGATTTTCCTGTCATTTGTACGGTGGATTCCACGAGGACTATTAATGAGGTGAGCACAGATCAAGTGGTCTGGTGTGTTAGCATAACGGAATCATTGCGAGGCGGTTCCCATGCTTCCTGCTGCCCTTTACCGCTGTTGCACGGAACGCAAAGCTTGCATATTCATACCTTTTACAAGTTTCCAAAGTTCTGTGACATTACGAGCTTCCAGCTGAGAAATCTGTTAGTCTCTGTCGGTAGTCAGTTCCGAAATAGTCACTATTTCGGTAAGTTAGACGTCAGCTAAGGCTGTGATGAAGAGCTAGTATTGCTTCGTGATTAGGCTGCGTTTATACTTTGCGGCAGCGTAGCGTAGCGCTTCCAGCGTACGCCAGCGGCAGTGCTGGGGAGAGGATGCATATCGATCTAGCGTTCCCAGCGTCACCAGCGTCACGCTAGCGTACGCTAGCGTTACGCCAGCGTTTCTCCAGCGTTTCACCAGCGTTTTGCTAGCGTTTGCAGCGGCAGGGGAGTAGAGACTATGGGAGAGCTGGAGGGTACAAAACACATCGATTGCGCGTCTCTCACTCACCCTCAGTCTCTACAATACACGTCGATTCCGCGTCTCTTACGGCCACATAGTCTCTACTCCCTGCCGCTGCAAACGCTAGCAAAACGCTGGTGAAACGCTGGAGAAACGCTGGCGTAACGCTAGCGTACGCTAGCGTGACGCTGGTGACGCTGGGAACGCTAGATCGATATGCATCCTCTCCCCGGCACTGCCGCTGGCGTACGCTGGAAGCGCTACGCTACGCTGCCGCAAAGTATAAACGCAGCCTTAGTGGCATTTTCTCCCTGAAAGGTGGCTCAAGGGGAAGCGCTGACAGGATGTGGAGGCTCGTGACATATAAAAGCTGCCAATGTTAAAGTTGTGGCAAGGGTGGCGACGGACACGTTACAAATCTGGGGACGGGGATCCTATTCGAGACATTTGCAAGAACAAAAGTGATCGCTGCTATAGCTATTGAGAGAAGTCGACTTTTTTGTAGAATTGTGTGAAATGTTTTCAAGGCAGAGCTCACGATCGCAGCTGCAAATGCCTAAACTCATAGTGCGGAGAGAAGTGTGAACAGCAACGAATAACCCTGCATAGGTTTCACGCCTGAAAGCGGTAAGGTAACGGCGGTGAAGCACAGGTTGCTCAAATGACTCCCCTCCCACCTCCAAATGAGCGAGTTAGCAGATATATGTCCGATCTGCTGACTTGCTCATTTGCATACTCTGCCTCTTTCGCTGGCCACTCGCCCGATATCCGCATCAATTGTATCTCCTTGGCACCAGTAGGGCCTATTAAAAGCACTTTCAATGGTTTCCAATGGTTTCAATCACTTTCCAATGGTTCCAATCCTTTTTCCTTCACGGTCAAGTCAACCAGCATATACATTTCTGTTTCTGACCTCGCTAGTCAGCGTTCGAGGCAGACTCAAGGGACTGGGCATAACTTGTTCTCTTCAAAAAACGGGAACAGAGGCACTGAATTGAAACGGGACAAAACGGCCAAAGCGCATAGAATAAGGCCCTTATTAACAGTCTCAAGAAGGAAATGTACGAGCCTGCCCCTGAAATAAGCCTCCAGTGGTTGAAAATAAGGGAAGAATCACGGCGACTGCATAGGAAATATAAAAACTCATTATTCCAAGCAGTAGCAAACTCCACGGCAGCACCAACAGTTCCTCGGCAACTTCTGTTCCACATTTTAGCACCACTACCCATGACTCCTACCACTCACAGCTGAGACTGACAAGGGAATGGTTTGAACTTCCCATGGAACTTTGAATGGAGACCTAGGTACATCGATAGAGCCTCGAATGCTGATTACGAATATGCAGATTAAAAGTGCTACGGAGACCTCCCAGACGAGATCTGGGCGGTCAAAGTTTGCGAAAACTCTGTTTTGGCTCGTAAGCGCTGCTGATCGATCACGTACGGTGCCGCCGTGGCCTAGTGGTAATCGTCTCGCTTCATAGCCAAGTACTGGTGGGTTTGCATGGGCCAAATCTTTTTGCCTTCCTGTCCTATGAAAGCTTTTATTCTAATTTTCAAAACTTTCCCGAGTTTACGGCTCGGCGGAGCAAATCACCTGTATCACCTGTGCTCCCGTTGATCATCGAGTTCCTCGAGCGGGCGCCAGTCTCCATTCGTCCCTGCAACGTGCAAGAGTTGCCCAATGAACTCTCTCTGCTCGAGGGACACGATGAACTTCATACCATTCGTTCAGAGCTTTCACGAAGAAGTCTGACCATCGCATAGGCGGTCGTCCAGGCGTTCGCTTGACATCCCGTGGAATCCAGTCGGTGATCGCTCTGGTCCAGCGGTCGTCCTCGAAACGCATGACGTGTCCGGCCCACCTGATCTTCGAAACCTTGGCAAATGCGGCGGCGTCTCTGATCTTCGATCGTTGGCGGAGTGCGGAGCTCCGGATTCCCTCTCTCACTTGCGTGTAGCGGGAAACTCCGAGCATCGCCCTTTCGATGGCGCGTTGAATAACGCCAACCGCATCCTGCTTTCGTAGAGTCCAAGTCTCTGAGGCGTACGTCAAGGCAGGAAGGACCGCGGAATCGAAGAGGTGGGCACGGAGCTTGGTGTTCTTCGTCTTCTTCGCTACTCCCTCGATGTTCTTGAAGGCTCCCCAAGCCGCTCGCTTCGCTGAAGAGCTTGGGCGAGATGGTGTCGCCCTGTCGGACCCCTCTCTTCACATCAATGATGATCTCCTTGTAGAATGGTGAGATCTTGGTCGTGAAGTTGCTGTAGAGCTCACGAAGAATCCTGATGTACTGAGTAGGAATACCCTGGTTGCCCAGGGCTTCGATAACCGCTTCTGTCTCAACGGAGTCGAAGGCTTTCTTCAAGTCGATAAACGTGAGACATAACGGCATCTTGTACTCTCGCGATACTTCAATGAGCTTCGTTACCGTGTGGATGTGATCGATCGTGCTGAATCCTCTTCGAAACCCTGCTTGCTCGCATGGCTGTCCTTCGTCTAGTGTTCTCTTCTGCAATCCTTTCAGGATGACTCGTGTGAAGATTGGTAGACTACAGACAGAGGGAAGATGGGGCCCCGATAATCGTCCAATGTCGCCCCCCAGGTTGCCTTCTTGTACAGCAACATAGACTTGCTGGTTTTCCACTAGGTGGGTACCTTGCATAAGGTAGCGCGTGAAGAGTCGAGCCAGAGTTTTGACGAGAACTGGCGGAAGATTCTTCAGATGTTCGGGTCTGATCCTGTCGGGACCGGGTGCCGTACGATTCTGCACCGACGAGATGGCCACAACCACACCCGGTCGACTTCGAAGAGAGACTGCAGGGGGAACGACATATCCATCCTGCTCCAAGCGGTATGGTTGCAGGTGGACGTGGCTGTCAAAGAGATCCGAGTAGAAGTCGTGGATGACCTTCTCCATTGCCCTTCTGGATGCGGTGATTGTTCCATCCGGACGTCGGAGGGCGGTCATCTTGGTCTTACAGTTGGCGAAGTCGCGGCGGGCGTTGCGTATGCTCTTCCCAGCCTCTGCGGCTTCCACCAGTACTGCTGCTCTTCTCTCCTTGAGGTCTCTTTATCGCTTCTCTGCATAGCTTCGCAAGCTCAGACGTCAGCTGGTAATTGCCTGCGGCTCGTGCGGCTCCACGTTGGCGAATCAGCTCGAGAGTTTCCAGAGATAGACGCTTCTTGGTAATCTTGGAACCCTCTGACTTCTTGGCGCAGTCGTGAAGATGTGCAACAAGCCGTTCGTATTCCTCGTCGATGTTGTCGATGACAGAATCCTCCCAGAGCCCAGCGAGAGAAGTGAAGTGATCCCAGTTGATGAAGGTCTTTGGGCTTCGCTTCTTGAACTTTGCGGCTCTCTCTCCTCTGGGTATTAATACTGGGTATACTGGGTACAACGATTACACACATTTTGATCTGCCCGAATCGTACAGTTTGAAGTGACGTTCTTTTGCCATTTGAGCTGATAAGAGGATTTCATACTCGTGTTCGCATTGAACGATTGTGAATGTTCTACCTTAAAACGCATGAATTAACGACTAGATACCGAGCATTTGAAAGGATTACAGGGTCCAATTTGTCGATCCCAGCCCACACAGCATATCCGTTATGGAAGTCATGATAAGCTATCGATCTCCAAGTCATCGAAGTTTTGGTTTGCATGGACAAGGGTATTGGCGTAACACAAGGCTTTAGTTAGGGTTTAAGCGGTAGGTTTCTTATGAACGGCTGCACTGGCAAGAGTACTCCAGGGTGCTGTGTTTTTATTATATAATATGTTCTTTTGTGCATTCCTTACACGACCCCATAAAATGAACTCCGCTTTCGAAAATACGGAAACGATGGTTAATGCATGCACTGTAAATGGGAGCGTTTTAAATCTATCTGAATCCAAGTATACCTAGGAGGGGTGTT